TAGACGAGTTAGGACCTCCAACAAAAGATAAATCCTGTGGATTAAGGCAGGTAATATATTCAGAATTCTGAGATTCTATTTCGTTCTTAATTTCCTACAATTAATGAACTTTAGGTAAGCCGTAAAATTGACTTTCTCGGGCTCAAAATTTATAAGTCTTTTAGATAGTCTCTTTCCTTGTCTGTTAAAGCTTCAGAAAAAGGTTTCATGGACGAGACTTTTAACCTTTGACATAGATTTCTTTTCGTGTGTTTTGTTAATCGTTTGGTAAAACTCGGTGTCTTGTAACATGGTTAGAATCTTATTTTCGTATGATTACAACTCATCCTCTTTTGTCTGCTCTTTAATCACAATACTTTTGTCATTGCATAAGTCTTTGAGGGCAATTTGTTCATTCTTAAAAAGATTTGATTTATTAAGTATATGGGTATCTGGTAGATTGATGTTCTCTAGCATATCACAAACAGCAAACTTGAATTATTTCTCGCGAAATCCTCTGGCTTTGTATGTTCAGTTTGTTGATTAGATTCATTCTCGTCCTCATCCTCGTGGAAAAACTTCCTTAATCTGAGTCGTCTTGTATACGATTTAATATCTGTTTTTAGTTCCTGGTGGTTATTTTGAGGTATACTTGGCAGTTTTAGGGCTGGGAGTTTCTCCTGCATTTATATACCTAAAATCACATACGTTCTCTCTAATTACAACCAAATCGTGTAGAAGACAAGTCCTTTTATTCATAATTTTACATGATTTCAATGCAATTTATCTCATTCTTCTTGGATCTGTCTGGTTGTTCATATAATCTCTTAGAGTCACTTTGAATAAACGTAGTGCTCTAAACTGATTATTTTTATTATATTTTTTTTTCATCTTTTTTCACTGCAAAAGAACAAGATCAACGGATAATAAGTGAAGTTTAACTTAAAAAACTTTAATATGTTGAGTTTTCTTAATCTATTAAAAGTATTTCTCAACCCACTTCAAACATTAAGGTGTTTCGCTGCCTTTTTCCATATGTCTGAGATATAAGTATTAAAATTTTGTTAAAAATCTATTACATTTCCTAAAAGTTTGACTTCATCTAATGAAAAACTTTTCTAGGGTTTAAAGATATTTGTTGTTCTGTGTTTTGGACCTAATTACAATAGCTTGAAGATTTCGTGGTTTGCTTTCATTTTGTCGACGGAAAACCATTGGATTAGAATAAACTGTCCTTCTGTAAAGTTTTATAACATCTTGCAGCTGTTTTGAGATCTTCCGAAGGTATTTTCCATAATAATAAAAGGTACATTTTTGACAAAAAAATGAGTCGTTAATAATAATATTGAAAAATACAAGTCCAAGAACGAACCGTATGAAAGAATTCCTGTGATGCAGTAGGTGCTGGCACGAAAATGATCCCTCATCGCTCAATGGCGAGAGTAGAATACGGGTTTTAATCTGAATTCCTCTACAGGCAAGTGCTAGTGTCCCCATATGAGAAAAGAAATCTCGAAGAAATGTAAAGCGAAACAAATAAACAAACAAAACCAATTTCTAATTATTCTAATGGAATAAGCCATTTAATTGATTTGCTTCTACCAACCAGAGTGAATTCTAATGAAGCAATCTTTTAATTTATAATTCTAGCTTCTGTATATCTCTGTTTAATGTGTGAAAACATGTTCAACCATACCATATTCACATGTACATATATGTTAATGAATTAACTCCATACCTCGAATAAAATAACAAACCGTAATCAAGCTCAGAATCCTATTAAACATTAAAATAAGGGAACAGAGTATACACACAAAATCAGCGATCATATATCTATATTAATATGTTGCAAATTTTGAATTTACAATTAGCATGTTAAAAATTTTGCATTTAACCCCCCTCCCCCTTGTAAATTCAAAATTTACAACATGATATTAACTAAAATTCTTCATGCCTTCCATTATGCTATGAAGGCATTTCATTTCATTTGATAAATAGACAGGCCTACCGAAGATATAGCTATGTTGCAACCACTATTGAAATAACGTTCACTATTGAAATAATTATTTCAATAGTGGTTGAGAGTGCATTTCAAAACTGAACAAAGGCTGTAACCACTATTGAAATAACGTTCACCATTGAAATAATTATTTCAATAGAGGTTGAGAGTTCATTTCAAAACCAAACACAGGTTGTAACCACTATTGAAAAAACCTTCACTAATGAAATAATTATTTCAATAGTGGTTGAGAGTTCATTTCAAAACCAAACTAAGGTTTTAACCATTATTGAAATAACGTTCACTATTGAAACAATGATTTCAATAGATGTTTTGAATGCATTTCAAAACCTAAACCATGCTGAAATCACTATTGTTGCATTTGCATTTCAAAACTAAACACAGGCTGCAACCACTATTGAAATAACGTTCACTATTGAAAAAAGTATTTCAATAGTAGATATATAGGATCTCCCATGATTTGTGGTTGGTTATGATTTTTATCCAACGAGTTGTGTGTTTTTTATCCCCGAGCCTTGGCGAGGGGATAAAAACACACAACGAGTTGGATAAAAGTCATATCCCACTACAAATCATGGGAGATTCTTTTTATCCCATGTTTAATACTTCACAACCAATGTTTTACACTGTTTTATATAGGACTCCACTTTATTTTACTTCATCGCGCTAACGCAAAAATCATTGTGACGTCACAACTGTGGATTATGAAAAATTTATCCAATGAGTCATATCCACGGGACAAAGGGTAAACATGGGATAAATTTCAATATCGGCAGTATTAATGCAACCACCATTGAAATAACGATCACCAATGAAATAATGATTTCAATAAAAGTCATTATTTTTATGGCGGTTTTATATGTGTGACCACTATGGAAATAACACCCACTGTTAATACATGTAATGCTTATACTAATTTCTCTTTAGGTTTTGTTTTTAATGCCTTGAGGAGTAGGCATTGGATTTACTATCCATATTTGTAGTGTAGGCAAGCCCATGTATATGAGAGAATTTATCTCTATTGTATATTTATTTTATTAAAATAACCATATTTTCATCAAAAGGTTGTGCACATAGATGTCCGTCTTCCTCTTTTTAATGTAGATATTCTAATTTCTACAATTATGTGTATCTATGATCCTTTTCTTTAAAATCAGTGGCAAAGATGAACAATATTTACCAAAATTACTTAAAATATATATTGATTGATTGTCTGTAAGTTTTCGCTGAGTCGGCCAGATTCAGTGGACGCTTGCATAAAACATTTGCATGCTTTGTTTGAATTTAAGGTACGTCAGTTAAATCAAAAATGTCCGTGTATTACTGGTAATTTATAGAAAAGAAAGGAATACATAAATTTACTCGTCATATATTAAACTCAATAAATATTATATATTATGTTGGACAACGTGATGAACAATTTATCCTTATATTTTTTTTTCAATAGTGGGGTTATTTCAGTAAGGCTTGCAATGTGGTTTTGGTATTGAAATCATTGCCAGCAACTATTATAATAATTATTTCAATCACTACTGAAATCCTTATTTCAATCACTATTGAAATTTTTATTGCATTCAAAACCTCTATTGAAATCGTTGTTTCAATAGTGAACGTTATTTCAATAATAGTTAAAACCTTAGTTTGGTTTTGAAATGAACTCTCAACCACAATTGAAATAATTATTTCAATAGTGAAGGTTATTTCAATAGTGGTTACAACCTGTGTTTGGTTTTGAAATGAACTCTCAACCTCTATTGAAATAATTATTTCAATAGTGAACGTTATTTAGATAGTGGTTACAACCTGTGTTTAGTTTTGAAATGCACTCTCAACCTCTATTGAAATAATTATTTCAATAGTGAACTTTATTTCAATAGTGGTTACAACCTGTGTTTAGTTTTGAAATTCACTCTCAACCACTATTGAAATAATTATTTCAATAGTGAACGTTATTTCAATAGTGGTTGCAACATAGCTATACTTCTTGATACTCCAGTCAAAGAGCATGCCAACTGTCAGCACGACAGCATCTGCAACTTTTAAATGTTTCTGATGATTAAACGACCTTTTTTCTATTCTAATAAAAACTTTTAGCCCCTCGCCAACCCTTCATTGCGTTAGAAAACATTTCTTGGAGATTCCCTTAGATTTCCTTATTTTTTACTATCTAAATTTGAATCTGAGTAATAGTGGACAGTGACAATAATATCACTGTAAATTTCATAATTCCTAAGGTATATGATGAACCATAAAATTAACTCTTAGGAAACATTCTCTACATCTGTATGTAGAAGCCCGTTGTAATGAACAATTAAATAATTAAATATATATAAGATTACTTTGACATGCTTTCTTTAAAAGTTTGCACATCAAAAATATCTTACAATGAAGGAAGAATGAATGCTGAAAATCAATATTGGAAATTATATAAATTTCCATTAAACCAGGATTTTAAAAATAATAATAATAAATCCTAAATAACCATTTGTAGACAACTAAAAAGGAGGAAGAAAAGAAGAATTTCAAAATAAATCAATATTTCCTGAATTTCGTTGAAGCTAAGTTCTTTATCAGCAAGTTTTCTTTAACCTTATGAGATTATAAGGATAATTTTCTTTACATTTTCTTGCAGTAAACATTTTAATTGCACTGCTTTCGTTTGAATTATCAATTGATAAATTTTCAAGTGGTGAGAGAAATCCTTTGGACTGATATATTCACTATGCATATTTTCAAATAAAAAAAAATTGTGGATCACAGGTTTCTTCGTTGCCTACAAAACTATTTAGTTTCAACAAGTAGCCCTATTAAATCTTTAACATTAAAGACGGTCCCATTTCCGTATCAAATGGAAGAAAACAAGCAAAATTATTTGCAAGACAATGACTTCCTCCTGTCAGGTAAGTTTGTTTTAAGATAAACCAAATTCATGGACTTTCCTAGCATATTAATTCCTTATTCTTCCCAAGCTAAACAGTCTTGTTATATCAATATGAGAAACATGTTGGCTTTGTGTGTTGTGGCTATTTTATTCCATTCCACTGAATCATTACAGAATTACAGCGTTGGTGATCCCCAAGCTTGCAATATTGGGAATGGAAATGAGAATTTCATGTTTGAGGTCCTGCCTGGCTTTGGTTGGGACAATCTAGTGAATGAAAATCGAGGAGTTGTGGTCAACTTTAATTATTCAAAATGCAAAACAACAGAGGACAGAAAATACCTCATTCCAGACGGTGTTGTAACCATTCCTATCAAGAAGAGTCAGTTGAATATCTTCTCGAAGGTGTATGATCACTGGTCTCAATATGAATCAGATACAGCGTTTTCTATCAATGTTGGTGGTTCAGCTAGTATTGCAGGAATAAAAATTGCCGCAAGTCTGTCCACTGAGTATGAACACATTAAAAAACATCAGCTGGAGGATAAATCATTCACAACAAAAGTCCAAGCACGATTCGTCCGGTATACCGCCATAGTTCTTCCCGATCTACAGTTAGATAGATCTTTTCGCAAACGTCTACTGAAAATAGCCAATCATATTCAACATAATCGAAAATTGTCCACAAAATATGAAAGTGAACTCCTGGTTCGAGATTTTGGAACTCACGTCCTTACAAGTGTGGATGCTGGAGCGTCCATTGTCAAAGTGGATCAAGTAGATTCCTCTCTGCGTTCGGATACAGAAATAGATAAAGTACAGATCGGGTTTGCAGCAAGCGTCTCTTTTTTTGGAATTGCAAGTATAAATACTAAAACGCAGTACTCACACTCCAAAACTACTATTGAAAAATACATGAAGAGCATTAAAAACTCGGATATAAGAGCTTATGGTGGTCCACCCTTGAGTCCTGAAAATTTCACGCTTAGCAAATGGACAACTGCTATTGGAAATGATTTGGTAGCGGTCGATAGAAATGGGTTTCCTCTAGACTATGTCATCTCTACAGCTTCACTTCCTGAACTATCTGAAAGTTTGGTCGAAGAAATTGTTCAGAGCGTTCGAAGTGCAATCTCGTCCTACTTCCTTCATAACACGTATCCAGGATGCACCAATCCAGATGCGCCGAACTTCAGCAAAATTTCAAATTTGGATGACGGTACCTGTCATGCACCTCTAACGAACCTCAGTTTTGGTGGAGTTTTTCAAGAATGTATCTTTAAGGGTGCCTTAATTAACAATGAAAACCTATGTGACAAAATAACGACGAAAAATTCGCAAACACAGGATTTTAAGTGTCCAGTTGAATTTGAAAAGGTTGTACTTTTTAAAGGAAAAACAGATAAAGCCCAGCATGAGCACAAGTGTCATAAATGTTGGCTCTTCTTCACATGCTGCCATGATCAATCTTATTATGGCTTAGCAACATACACATCATACTGGTGCCGTGCAAAGCCAAACACACCTGTTCAAGAAAACAGCGGGTTTCTCTTTGGAGGATTGTACTCAGATAGAACCAGTAACTTTGTAACACAATCAAAATCATGCCCGCAGTATTATAACCCAATGACAATTGCCTCTAACATCCGTGTCTGCATCAGTGATGATTATGAACTTGGCGCCAAATCTGCCGTACCGTTTGGGGGTTTCTACAGTTGTCAACATGGAAACCCTTTAGTTGATGGTAAATACACAAAATCTTGTCCTAAAGGATTTAGCAACCACTTAGCCACCGTTGACAACAACTGTGAAATACAATACTGTGTACGGACTAGTCAACTGTCCGAGTTAAAATTTCCAACAGTGCAACTTCCACCGTTTATTGGAATCCCAGCAGAAAGCTTAGCAGAACCAGCAAATTACATAATTTCCCATGACTCGGAATCCTGGATCCAACTTATAAATCCCGAAACGAAAGCCAAAAAGCCCGATGAATCAACTTGGACAACTCTGAATTCTGCACCAACAGAGATGGCTGTCCTGATGAAGAAATTCTCCAGTAATCACGTAGTCAGTGAAAATGAAGATTCGGGGATGTCCAAAGGTGCAATTGCAGGCCTCTCTGTTGGCTTAACAACTGCTATTTGCTTGTTGCTAGGAATTCTCATAGTTATTCGACGTAATCGAAGACAGCGGAAAATCTATGAGAGTTTTGATTGAACTTTAAGTACGATTTGATCAGTCTAAAATTTTGCTTTAAAAACAAAACTGAAATTTCTAAATAAAGCTACGATAATCCATTGATTTACAATGATGATTCCTGGACTTTACGTATATTTCAGCGATTGCTTTAGAGAGAGAGACGTCAAATAAATATATACCCATTCAGCACTACATCTTTAATGTTTAATAATTATTCATATATTTCACAGGACTCTGATGTCTCGAATCTATATACGAAATAAACTTTAAACAGAAAAAGTGAATTATTTTTACTGACATCAACAACAAAATTATTTTGAAAATAGGAAAAAAAAGATGTGTTTGTGAAACACTGATGCCCCCGTATAGCAACTTATAGCAAAGGGTAAACTTTCTCAAATGCAAATCAAATATGTTGGTACCCAAAGTAAGGTCTTGTCTCGAGGAATATACCTGTGAAATATGAGAGACCTAGCAGCAATGGTGCCTAAGGAAAGGCCTTCTCACAAGAAATATGCTGGTAAAATATGAAAGCTGAAGCACCAATCTTTCAAAAGTTTTTACCAAGGTTAAAGTTTTCCAAAAATACGTCAAACTCCAAGGTCAAGGTCAATGGATCACAATTGTTGGTATCCAAAGGAAGGTCTTGTCACAAGGATTACATATGTGAAGTATGAAAGCCCTAGCACCAACGGTTCAAAAGTTATGGCCAAGGTTAAAGTTTTCCAAAAATATGTCAAACTCCAAGGTCAAGGTCCAAGGTCAAAGAGTCAAAGTTGTTGGTATCCAAAGGAAGATCTTGTCACAAGGATTACATATGTGAAGTAGGTCAAACTCTAAGGTCAAGGTCAAAGGGTTAAAGTTTTTGGAATCCAAAGAAAGGTCTTGTCACATGGATTACATATGTGAAGTATGAAAGCCTTAGCACCAATTGTTCAAAAGTTATGGCCAAGGTTAAAGTTTTTCAAAAGTAGGTCAAACTCCAAGGTCAAGGTCAAAGGGTCAAAGTTGTTGGTATGCAAAGGAAGGTCTTGTCAAGAGATTAAACATGTGAAGTATGAAAGCCCTAACTCCAACTGTTCAAAAGTTATGGCCAAGGTTAAAGTTGGGTAAAATTTTGTAAAACTGCGTCAAACTCCAATGTCAAAAGATCAAATATGGCGGTACCCAAAGAAAGGACTTGTCACAAGGAATACACATGTGAATCATGAAAGCCATAGCTCCAACCAATCAAAAGTTATGGGCAATGTTAAAGTTTTTGCGGACAAACAGACAAACAGATAAACAGACAAACAGACAAACATCACAGACAGACGGACGGACAGGGCAAAAACTATATACCCCCGAATCTTTGATACGGGGGCATAAAAATAATTAAACAAACATTTATAAAGAAATTCAGTATTTAAACAAGATGTTTTTGTGAAACACTGATGCCCCCGTATGGCAACTTATAGCAACGGTTAAACTTTCTCAAATGCAAATCAAGTAGTTGGTACCCAAAGTAAGGTCTTGTGTCGAGGAATATACCTGTGAAATATGAGAGTCCAATCAGCAACCATTGAATAGATATGGAAAAGGTTAAAGTTTTTTCAAAGTAAGTCAAACATCCAGGTCAAGGACAAATGGTCAAAATTAATGGTGCCCAAGAAAAGGCCTTCTCACAAGAAATATATATACTGGTGACATATGAAAGCTGAAGCACCAATCGTTCAAAAGTTATGACCAAGGTTTAAGTTTTTCAAAAGAAGGTCAAACTCCAAGATCAAGGTCAATGGATTACAATTGTTGGTATTCAAAGGAAGGTCTTGTCACAAGGATTATATATGTGAAGTACGAAAGCCCTAGTACCAACGGTTCAATAGATATGGCCAAGGTTAGAGTTTTCCAAAAGTAAGTTAAACTCCAAGGTCAAGGTCAATGGATTATAATTGTTGGTATCCAAAGGAAGGTCTTGTCACAAGGATTACATATATATGTGAAGTATGAAAGCCCTACCATCAACCGTTCACAAGTTATGGCCAAGGTTAAAGTTTTTCAAAAGTAAGTCAAACTCCAAGATCAAGGTCAAAGGGTCAAAGTTGTTGGTATCCAAAGAAAGGTCTTGTCACAAGGATAACATATGTTAAGTATGAAAGCCCTGGCTGGAATTGTTCAAAAATTATGGCCAAGGTCAAAGTCTTTCAAAAGTAGGTCAATCTCCAAGGTCAAGGTCAAAGGGTCAAAGTTGTTGGTATCCAAAGAAAGGTCTTGTCACAAGGATTACACATGTGAAGTATGAAAGCCCTAGCAACAATTGTTCAAAAGTTATGGCCAAGGTTAAAGTTGGGTAAAATTTTGCAAAACTGGGTCAAACTCCAAGGTCAAAAGGTCAAATATGGTGGTACCCAAAGAAAGGTCTCGTCACAAGGAATACATATGTGAATTATGAAAGCCCTAGCTGCAACGGTTCAAATGTTATGGCCAAGGTTAAAGTTTTTCAAAAGTAGGTCAATCTCCAAGGTCAAAGGGTCAAAGTTGTTGGTATCCAAAAGAAGGTCTTGTCACAAGGATTATGTATGTGAAGTATGAAAGCCTTAGGACCAAAAGTTCAAAAGTTATAGCCAATGTTAAAGTTTTTACAAAAGTATATCAAACTCCAAGGTCAAGGTCAAAGGGTCAAAGTTGTTGGTATCCAAAGAAAGGTCTTGTCACAAGGATTACACATGTGAAGTATAAAAGCCCTAGAACCAATTTTTCAAAAGTTATGGCTAACGTTAAAGTTTGGTAAAATTTTGCAAAACTGGGTCAAACTCCAAGGTTAAGGTCAAAAGGTCAAATATGGTGGTACCCAAAGAAAGGTCTTATCACAAGGAATACACATGTGAAATATGAAATCCATAGCTCCAACCAATCAAAAGTTATGGGCAATGTTAAAGTTTTTGCGGACAAACGACAGACAGACAGACGGACGGACAGGGCAAAAACTATATACCCCCGAATCTTCAATACGGGGGCATAAAAAGTACAATAGCAGAGTTAATTTTACAGTTTTAAAAGAAATGTTTCATCGCAAGGTCAGAGTATATAACTTCCAAAAGAATCACAGTGGCATTTACATTTAATCAATATCTCAACATCTCATAAAATAACAACCTTGTCTACAGATATTCCTTCATGATTTGTTTCAAAGACTAGCTACTGATGTCAGTTGTTATTTCTGATATTCATAGTCAGTTATTCATTTTCATTAACATTTCACGTGAATAAGTTGACAGCACACATTGACATTGCAGCTGGGAAATAAAACATGAAATGCATAATTAATCCATAATATTTTTTTCCACATGTATCAAAGACATTTAGGAAGCTCTTGGGAAAGTCTGTTAGAAGCTGAAAACTAAGAAACGGGATTGAGTGAGTTTTTTTTTTCATACATATTAACAAACCAAAAGTAGAAATTAATTGACAAAATCCTTCTTCAAAAGGGACATGAACGGGTTGAAACGTACAAAAATTTTAGGAAAGGACGGAAGGTAGAAAAGAAAACATTTAAGGGTATATCGAGTAAATATTTGTTCTCTTAAGGTAGTCCGATCCTCAGGTTCTGAAAATCAGCTTCTAAGTAATTGAAAATGCTCACAAAAATGTCTCTGATATCACATAGTAACGTGAATTTACCCATGGAATTTCTTCAATGTTCATCATTATAGTTAATCATATTATATAGGGAAAATTATCAAATCTCAAATATATTTTCAAGAAATCGAATAAAAACACCAGCTATGTATTTTCTAATTGAAAATTGATCAACGAATGTAATTTAGGATAGAAAAATATAGGTATCCAGGAATTTGGAGAAAATTGCATCTTATTTTATGCTTATACAGTATTTTAGTTCTTTTTACGTCGATTGTCATATAATACATATGTAAAAAGCTTGTGGTATCATTGCTAGACATCACATATCACATCTAATTTCATAAAATGCTAATAAGCAGTCGTATCTAATGCTAGACTAAAGATAATTCGATTTTTTTAAAACTGAATTCATTTTTGTTCTTTTATGGGGTACAAATGTCAACTTTTTACAAGACTGTTTCTAACACTTCGAAGAACCTTGAATCATATTAAGATGCATAAAATGAAAATTGTTGCACGAAAAGATATCAATTTCAAGCTTTATTTTGAGACTTTTTAAATAAAATGATAATTTTAAGAGTTATCCTTCCTGGCTGAGGATCGGATATCCTTAACGCTCATACATGTACAATACAAAGAAAGACAACTCTCTATACACTAGAATTCATGGGTAACACACATATGATCAATTCCTATAATCTTTCCGGGATCGATCAACAGTAAAGGGTTTTTTTTTATCACTTACTTAAAGTAAATCAAGTTAATCCTTTTAAGGTGGGATGGCGAGCGTATAGCTATTTTAATACCCTTTAGTTTCATTAATTGTATAAAAAAAAAAAGAAAAAAAAAGAGAGGATACAATTATCCCAGTGATTGTGAGGGAAAACAAATTAAACAACATAATAAGCCATGTATGCTACAGCTGGAACTGAAATCTGTTATATTTGTTCTCTTTATGCCCATTTGAGCAATCAGTTAGTTATAACTTATCTGTTTGTATGCAATCCGTACAATTTTAAGTGAAATGGTTAACATATAACTCCTTTCTGATTGTTTTCTTATTTTATTAATTCTTAACTTCTTAGTTAATTCATCACAAGCAACTTTTTAAGAAACATTCTAAATTTATATTCACTTATATCTGATAAAACTATCATAATTAACCACGTTTGGGTTTTGTGAAAAATGTTTATAAGATTTGTGACTTTTAGCCCCAGATACATAATTGTCAATGGCTTTTCGCATCAAACTTCCAATCAATTCCGAGTTAATTTGGTTATTACAGAGACTTCGTCTTAAGATTTCCAGTTTCCGGTAATGCATTTTTCGCAAGTAGGTGATTTTTTAACAATGCAATACGTATATAGTTAATTTTTGCTTAGATTTTATAGCATATACAAGGATACATATAAAACCATATGAATGCATACTTTACCATACGCGTTCGTTGCCTAAAGTAAGCAGAGTTTAAATTAAGAGATTTTTTTTTCCATTTGTACTGCAGATGAGTTTTTGGCTTACAGTTTACAGCTCACACTTTTGTTTGAGGAGGGACAAATTAATCTGAAATTTATGCAGATGACAATCCATATAATGGAAATGCTTTTTCGTGATCATGGTTAAACGGTAAAATTAACATAGATTCCGTTTATTGTGTAATTTCCCTTTTCGTGTCCTGAATACATGTACCTTTTTATTTTTTACGTATATCCATCTGTGATATATGATGTGGCTGTCGACTGTCCTGTACGCTTTTGTTGTGTGGCATGTTGTCCTCGGGTACACCCGATACTGTAAGTAAACGAAATCCAAGAAAAATCAAAAATGGTAGGTTAAATGGAAAAAATTAAATCTATATACTAATCAGAAACAAGAAACTTATCAAAGAATGTACCTGTGTCTTTATAATATGTCACAATAAATGTAGGATTCCAGATACATGCAATACCAGTGATTCTTAATTATGTTTCCTTTGTTTATGCTGATGTTGATTCATGTAAAAAAAAAATTGTTTATGTTAACTGTCCTTATTTGTGTATCTTCTCAGCTAAATCCTAAAAGCAATCATCATAATCAACGAATTATACAGTGGACATACAGGAAATTTTTACGTGAAAATCTTGAGTTGCTTGGTTGTAATATGGATTTGGAAAAAAAATGAACTTAAAAAGCAAAATGAATGGCAGCTGCATAAGTTAGGATGTAATTTAGAATATTTTTTTTTACACTGGGATTTTATCAATAGATTTCAAAATTTAAAAAAAAAGATAACAGGATATTTTAAGCTCTAAGGTGTCTTATTTGCACTTAAAACAATTTTTACATTTCCTCTGATTAAAATTAGGGAAAAAAATCATACAAATTTTAAAAATAAGAGCTTGTATCGGTCTTTCAATACTGAAATCGTATTTCAAAAGTAATGTTATAAAGATCCAGTGACTAAAATGTTAAGGCAGAATACCTCCTTATTTTTGTATTACATAATTTCTTCTTTTTATTGATGCTTCAGTAGTGGGATGATATTATATAAAGGCAATTTATGTGAGAGAGAGAGTGTGCAAACGTCACCAGCTTATATACAAATAATGCAAACTTTTTTTTTTTTTTTAGAAATGAGCAATATATCAGGCAGATTTATATATGTTCATACAGATAAATTGAATAATATTTACTAGAGTAAATGTGGAAATAATGTAAGATTTTGTAATAATGTCATAAAATGTGCGCAAAAAATTTAACGATTTAATAGAAAAGGCACAAAGTCGTATAATTGAATAATGACCACCCCCACCCCAACCCCAATTTTTTTTTTTTAATTTTAGAATTATTTTATGTCATTTCTATTCAAATTCGGTCAGAAAATACGTGTTTATCAATTCATGCCTTTTTTTTTTTTTTTTTTTTTTTTTTTTTTTTTTTTTGGTATAATGATATAAATATTGCATGTAGTTGAGTGTAACATTGAAAATTTTCACCCGAGGTTGACAATGGTATTCGAGGGATGAAAATTTTCAATGTTACACTCAACTACATGCAATATTTATTATATTATACTGAATGTTTCATACAAATACATATAACAGTGAACCTTGCGGGCATAAATTCTGCGCAGTCACTATTTTTTGGAATATCACCCGTCGTCAAGCAATGTTGACTGTTGCTACGCTGGAGGGCGTGGCTTCATCATTCAGCGGGTAATAGTGTTTTTTAACAAATGTTTCTCGACGAATCAGATTCAACCAATTTACATGAAAGTATAATATTTTAGAATATTTTTGTTATATTTTAAGCTGTATATTTGAACCCTACCCACCCACCCCCTACCCCCAATAAAAGTACGATTTTTTTTTTAAAGTACGATCTTTTTAAAAAAATTTTGTTTAGTTTTTATCATCTATCGTTATTGATTATCACAAAATTGTATTTTTGTAGTAAATTTTGACGGAACATGTGATAATGTCGGCACAATAAGTATATTGATGATGGCGACACTTCGTATCTTAAATGGACTGGATCTGAATTAACCCCATCTTGTTCATATACATTCAGTTCCGACGCAGATAAAAAAGTATGTGTGAAAGCCCAAACATTTCTTATCAGAGACTGTTCAGTTAAACTGCGGTATTATGGAGGGTTTATTGGAAATAAACTTAAAAGGGTAAACATATTTATTCTGCTTTTTAGGTCAATTATTGTTGATCATTTATGATTTAAAATGACAAACAAATATTTGATTTTAAGTGATGATGGACACAAACTATGTAAATCTTATTTATCAGAAAATTAATTGAAAATGGAACTTACATGTTTGATGTTTATATGAAACACTAGACTTACAGCTGTCTTGATAAAATTCCTGAACATTTCTGTGGTGATGAATTTTATAAAGTGGGGATCGAATTAACAACTCCAGATGAAGATACAGTCGGATACTTTACGTTGAAAGTAACAATGGAAGAACCAATTCCAGGTAAATTTAATTCTAAAAGCAATTAATAAACATATACACATACCAATATTATGGTATTGCTCATTTGAACCTAATTGATAAAGGTTTATGGAACATGTGTATAGGTAATGAGAAGGTCTTTTTTCTTAGATTTTAAAATTTCCTAAAAACACTTTTGAAAAAAAAAATAAAAAAGAACACGAGCTGGTTATAGGCAGTTGCAAACTTTTGATGAAATTGAAATAAGCGCACAAAACCTTGTTTCCAGAAGACTGATCGGCAAAGGAGTAGATCTTATCCTTAAATGTTTGGGATCATCCCTTTCTGATGATGAGTTATTTCCACATCATTTTTGCCGTATTCCTCCTCTAGCTGTGCTATGTTTTTTTACTTATGTACTACATATATTATCTCCAGTAGCATTTATCATCGCTGGTTCTGTCATTGGTGGCATCTTTCTTCTCTTCCTTACTGTGATTATCTTTACTTGTCGTCGACGTCAACAAATCGAAAGAGAACTGGATGGAGATGGTGAACAGGATCCCATTGTGACGTCAGCAGGTACACATTTTAGAGGGGGGCAATTAAATATCATCATAATTTTACAATAAGTCCAAAAAAAGAACATAAACAAAATAGAAAATCTGCAATAATTAAGAAACATACATACATACATGCATATGCCTTAATACAAATTAAGCTATGTTTATTTGAAGCGATAGTAACCCACCATCCACCACCGCCGCTGAATTATGGCACAACAAATCCTGGCTTTAAGCAGAACAACACAATACCATATCCTTATCCAAGTGATGTACAGAACAACCCTTATCCTGTTGGATACAATCCAACATCATATCCGACTAACCAAGGTGCGCAATATCCAGGATATCAAACTAACTACGCTCAGACATAGACATTGACTATATATCGCATATTTTCAAGTGTATTGAAGACATGTGTGGGGTTTTTTTTTAACATATTGCGGAATTTTCTAATTTTCTGTTCTTAATTCTGTTGTAAAAACACATTTTTGTTCCTCATTATCATGTTATATTTATTATATTGCTTCTGTGTGGTTACTTTTGTTATAATGTTGTGTAACCCATATGTAATAGGCTTTTACTTTCACAGATTATTTTTTATATTTTTATGGAACAAAAATATTCTAGGATGTATTATAGCCCCTCTCGACAGGAAGCGGAAATATCAGAGTCGCTATATCGCTGCCTCCTCCAAAAAAAAAAAAATAAATAAAATTACAATATTGAACCGTAGTTCTAAAAAAGCTTATCTTTTTTATGATGACCACCAGATATTGACCAAATGTCTTCATTTTGACTTTGTAAACGACTTTTCAACTAATGTAAATTGAGATTTGTCGTTAAAACGCTATGTACATTTGGTGCATAAGTCATGGGAGTAGTGAAGGGTATAGCAGTGGGACTAATGACTTGCCTTGAAGTAAACGTAAAATACTTACAATAAAATCACATGATCGATGTTTACCATCCACAGTTACTACTAAACAAACATCATGGAAAAATAATATGTATATATGAAAAATTGATAAATTGCTTACTAACTGCTTTTTACAACATGTGTATTTACATGTTGTGTAAATAAACAATTCAGGATACCTTTTTATGATACAAGTGGCTTAAGTTATAATATAATCCTTGTGATTTTGTACTCTTGGACTTGATACTATGCAACAGCATTAAACAGAATATTGATCCTTGGTTTAATCTCAAAATCAGAAACCGAGACACGGAATTATCTATTTTAGTGTAGTCTACTTTTATGCCAAGTTATATCTAAATGAAACCAAAACCGTAGGAGAAGTAGAGTTTTGAATGTATTTCACACTTATATTTAATAAAACTGTACATTGTGACAAATTAATTCAGTTCAAGTCAGATTTTGTACAATGAAAACTTCAGTAATCCTAAAAAATGAAAAGATTAAAGAATTTCATGTTCGCTGTCCTGTCCTATTTTGTTGGGATTATCTCACTTCGTGCTTTTTAGACGGTGGCTATTTATAGCCACAGGCTATTGCTGCTGGTCTGGGCGATGAATAAACAACAGTGTAAAATCACGGGGACCCTAGCGGCGATTTTTGCAGAGACAAAATAATGAAAGTGGGGTCGTTTCGATGTTCGAAAATAAAATGTACATGGTTCTCAAGTTATTTCAATGACATTTTGTTGATGGGCGCAAAGTTGAATTCCTGATATTTGCCGTTATAATATTTCTCGCCTCATGAATATTCATTAAATTACGCCGACTTAATGTTTATTCGTACAAAAACTGATTCGTACATAAGAAGTCAATTCGTATGCAAACTACAGAAGTCAATTCGTACATATGAAACAAATGCAAAAAGTCAGTTCGTACACACGGCCTTTTTTACGTTGTGTAAATGTAAAATTTCAATAAAATTTATTAAAAGTAAAAAAAATCTGGGGGAAAATATTTATGGATAATGGTTTCACATTACACCTTACCATCTTAGGAAATAAAATAATTATTGTTAAACCAACACACTCTCGGCGGTTTCCTCGCTGCTGGATGTGTGACAAACGCTTATTACGAGATGTTTCCCAATTTGGTATTCCCTAATTACGAGATACTCCATGCTTGGAAAGCGTCGATCCCCAAATTTCTCCACTTCCGAAAATTCAGTTAATATGATTCGAGGACTGCGTATTCCTTGTTGCAGAACTTCATGAAATTTATTAACGCACACAATTAAACTAAAATTGTCTCGATCCTTTATTCAAACATATTTTTTTAAAAAAAGAATTGAACTTAAGGAATCAGTCTACATAAACAATTTTAGCATGTTTTATTTCATAAATTTGACGATCAACATTTCGATTGACCAACACCCGAAGTTGAACTATGTCTTAGGTAAACATTCACAGGTAATATACAGGTAAATCCTGTGTATGTAGGTAGGTATACACAAGCCAGCTTGGTTCCCTCGGGGCTTCACAGCCGTTTCAGTTAAGCTCCACCCCACAACAAACTTACCTGAGGAAAACCGACCGGTTGAAAACCTCGGCCTTTAAATGTTTTATTTGGGACGTTTTGTGGAATTTTTATACAATAATACTTATACAGTTTATTGAAATTTTACGTGTCTTTTGATTATTTGAATTTCTAGTATCTGTTGATATTAGAAAACGATCTATTTTCGGAATGGAAAAAAAAAATCACGTCCTCTTAAAGTTTACATAAAAGAGGGTTGTTGAAGGCAGATACGATGCCATTTTGCAAAGTTTATTACGGTTCTATCTAAAACCAAAAGTCATTGCCTAATTATCTCGGACACAAAAACTACTGAAAGGATGCTAATTTATCAAAGCTGTAATTATAGGACTGTGACGAACAAAAGTTACCCATATATTTCATTTGTATTTGAAAATACTATCGTGCCTCGAATAAAATTTACCCTTTAAAAAGTGTAAGAAAAAAGCTACACAAATACATGTACATGAAATATTAGGATATTCTTGCGAATTCAGTTGACTTAATATGGGGCAGTCTTCTCCTACATGTGTTTTCAAAACTTCGTATTACGCAATGACTAGCGGGGTCAGTGCATATTAAGAGAAATAGAGGGTGAAAGATATATTTTTGTTATTCTGTTCTCTTTTTTTTCGAACAGTATATATCTATACTTATAAATTAATAAATTTTGCAAATAAACTCCGAAACGGGTGAACCAGAGTTCTTACTTACTCCTCTAACAATACACTAGATACAAGATGATGTCCGTAAACTATATTTAGATTTCACTCGCATAGTAAGAATCGTACATTAAATTAAAAGTCTGCTTTTATTTTCTATAAACAGCCATGAAATAGCAAAAACGTGAGTACGGTGGCGTTTCCGGTTGGCGGATCTAAGTTACTGGCAATTTTTAATGAAACTGACAACAAGCAATCGTTTATTTATTTCATAAAACGTCATCACTGAATTATTCAATCAAAACTTGATTTAAATGATATAAAAGAAATAAGTTGTGATAACCGATTAAAAAAGGAAATATGCAAATTAATTTCGTCATTCACCGATCTTAATATTGACGGAAGCTTCTAGAACATCACATAGCATCGAGCCCGATGTTAAAAAAACCGAGGCGCTTATAGCTTAAAAAAAAGCTTTTGTGTGAATGGTCATTGAAATAATGGTAAATCATTGATAACACTATAAGTTGTGAATATATTTATATATCGAAAGACCATTACATATATATACATGTATGTAGTAGGTTTTCCTAATAAATTTATCGGTAAAATTTGTATATATTCCTTACTCAGAGCGTCGTGGCAACGAATCCGAAGTACAATTTGTACTTCGTAATAAACTTGCTTACATGTAAAGAGAAAATTAATAATTAAGGTATTGTTCAAAAACAATTAAAGATGTAAAATTTTGTGCTTTAAGCAATACATTTCATTTTTTTTTTAACAGTCTTTTGTATTAAATACTCGGCCTGTTTATAGGGCGTTAAAAGCTAATTTTACACAGGTACTTGAATCTTAGTTTATAAATATTTACGTACCTTATTGATATGTAAAAAAAGTATAGTACATTATTTACATATCAGTAAGGTATAAAAATATTTATAAACCAAGACCCAAGTACCTGTGAATTTTGACCCCCCCCCCCTCCCCCCAAATCAATTTAGCAGTAAAATGTGCAGATTCAGTGCTTTTATCCTTGACGGAAATGAAATAAGAGCATCTGAAGTACAATATCCATAACATAGTATAACAGGTTTCACAATAAACGTCAATTAATGAAATTGTTAATTTTCAAGTTTTTACAAAGGGGGGGGGGGGGGAGAGAGAGAGAGAGAGAGAGACGTACATTTACTTCAAGCAAAATTTTGAACAAAGTATTTCTTCCTGCTATAAGCCTGTAGGCTGTCAGTAGAAACTACAAAATATTTTCTGTCGGTAGTAGTATAGATTCAATTCCCCGCGCTTGCGCGGGATTTCATCTAGTATATCAAACAAAAAGGTAAAACTACTGTACAATTCTCGAAGTCTTTCAACCTTATAGAAATAAGTAAATTACTGGAAATTTGGCAAAAATGGGGATCCAAAGATAAAGTCTATTTCATTATCTTTCAGCATATGATTTATGTCGCACAATCTACACTACAACGCCAAAAGTGATTCATCATTTCCCTTTTTACCATATATTTTAAGAAAAGTTAGTTTTTGTTTAAAAAAAATATTGTGAGTTCAATTTTATTCCAGATAAGCAAAATTTGATAATTAACCACTGAGTATAAGATTTTAAATGATAAAATCACAATTTCTAAATTCAAAACATCACGATTTCATGACACTTTTTGTTGTAAAATTTAACTTTTTCATTTGATACTTGATATCGCTGAAATGTACGCATGATAATTTTTTTTTTAATAAAATTATGCGAAGAAAGTACAATGAATTCGGAATTTACTGATACTCGCTCATATCTGCAACTCACAATAGGTTTATTAATTGTTCCTCAAATATCTCCAACAAATTTCTGCTAAAAAATGCACATCTAACTTGGAAGAGCGCCTAAATGGAACCACACATGCATGTATAGAAAGCTATCTTAAAATAAATATGTTCGGTCACCACATGAATATATTAGAACCTTTGATTCCCTTAATTTAACATTTAGGGTAAAATTAATTGTTTTAAGGATTAATTAATGAAAAAAAATTGAAATGATCAAGCTTTCGTTTCTGGCATTTCAGCGCATTTTTTTTCTTCAAACATTATTTTAAAATAAAACTAAATAAATGTAGAAAATTTCATGCAGTAAATTGTTTAACAACTTCAATTAATACATGTCCTCATCATACTGATGCAAATATAAAAATGTTAATTTTACCAGAACTCAACGAGTACACCCAAATATCTCATTTGGGAACACAATGAATAGTATTTCTCAGAATCAAAGTCACTGTCATCTAGGGTGGACATTACAGTCTAATGGGGGGGGGGGGGGGGTGGTCCGAACATATTACAACAATTTATGAGAAAGCTTGCTTACGACTAAATATATTGCGTACACTTAAATATAAATTAAAAAGGGACTTGTTAATCAAATTATATCTATCATTTGTTCGACCAGTTGTAGAATATGGGGATGTGGTATGGGATAATTGCACTGAAGAACAATCCAAATTACTAGAAAGTGTTCAGGTGGAAGCTGCAAGAATAATTACAGGCATTTAGTGCATTACATCCAAAACTAACCTATATTATGAGTTGGGATGGGAAACCTTAAGTTCAAGAAGGGAAAAATATAAGCTCACACTGATGTATAAAATTCTTAATAATCTTACCCCTGAATACATTTATAATATGCTTGAAGGATGTATGCCAATTCAGCATAATTATAATTTACGCAACCCAAACTCATATCGTATCCCAATCACTCGAACAGTGTCTTACTATAATAGTTTTGTACCATCCACAATATCCTTATGGAATAATTTACCTGATGATTGTAGAACTTCCCCTACATTGCAAAATTTCAAAAAAGATTAACCTACACCAATCCCATCCAGAAAAATAAAGTCAAGTTGTACAATTATGGGAATAGAATTGAAAATATACTAAATTGTCAGTTAAGAAATAAATGTAGTAATCTTAATGCTGATCTTTTTAAAGACCACCTTAATGATTCACCAAAATGTACAAATTGTGGATACCAAATTGAAGATTCATTACATTTTTTCATGTATTGCCCACAATATGTTCTTCAAAGACAGATGCTGATTAAATATATGAATGAGAATGGCATACCAATTAATATAGATAATATACTATATGGTGCTGAATCCTTATGTTTAGAAGACAACTTTTCATTTTTCTATCATGTACATAACTTTATAAGAAACTCAAACAGGTTTTCACTGAAATCTTAGTTTATCATGATATGCTAGGAAGAATATTATCTCATTTTAGGTATGTTAAGGAAATTTTTCCACTCTGAGTCAACTTTATTATGTGTGTGTGTTGTTTTTTATTTATTAATTTATTTTATTTTTTTTTATTTAGTATGGTCTTTCTCTCTCTCTATTTAATCTTTCTCTCTCACCCTCTGTGGATTCACTTTATACATGTACCAATTAATGGTTTATTTTACATACTGCTTTTCAATATGTTAAATGTACTTTATTATGTTTTTTTCTCTTTATTTTACTCTCTCTTTCTCTGGATTCACCTTATATATGTACCAATTAATGATCTATCTATTTTACATACTGTTTTTCAATGTTAAATGTATCAATAATTGTTATATATATGTACCTTGACCTAAGGAGAGAACGATTATAGGCATTATGCCTGCTGTTCAATCCGTTTCATTTGTAATGAATAAATATATTTTAAACTAATATAAAATAACTCATCAAATACATGTATTGTGAAAAATTGCAACAAACTTTCATAATTTGCATATCATTTTACAGATTCTCATATCATTTTAATTTAATTCATTCATGCCAGTGGCCAGTAATTAGAGCGTTTGCCCTAGAGTCAAGGAGTAAGGAGTCGATCCTTAGGTCGCGGGCTCGAATCCCACTGTGGGACGTGGAGACCGGTCCTTCGGATGAGTCCGTAAAACTGAAGTCCCGTGTCGCAGTAAGTGCTTGCCAGAAAAAAAGATCCCTCACTGCACAATGGCCCTGAGTGCTGAGTATAGATATAAAATTTGTATCCCACCAATGGCAATGGTGGCGTCTCATTATGAGTGAAAAATTCCCGAGAGGGACATTTTAATTTAAACAAACAACAATCAAACAAAATCATTCATGCCACCGTCTATCAGTACTCACAGTACTTTGATTTTCTCTGTGTTCAAGTGAAATTTACCAGAATTAGATTTTTATAAAAATAGTATTTACTTCAGCTTTTTTATTGTTAAAATGTCTCCCAGTTGATTCGATACGCAAGAGCATTTTCTATGTACGAATGATTTCTTAAAGATGCAAGCTATTGACAAATAATTTCATAACACAAGGATATTAGCAGTATCGTTTAAAGTCAACATTTCGCAAATTTTATGGTCAATACCATGACTTGTTTGCAAATACAGTAACTGTCGGGGTTTTTTTTACGAACTGTTACGCCATTATTTTCACACTGAATTGTCTACGGATTTCTCCGTTTACCTTATCATGACAAGGAGCACAAGGCGGGGGTGACCAGTTGACAAAGGATGCTTACTGAAGATCCTCCATGTCGCTTGATTCTATATGTGTTTTCAGAAGTCCGTGTTGGCTCTGCTCACAATTTGAATTGTTTAAGTGGATTTTGAGCAAGAAATGTTATAAGAATCCTAGAGGTTTTATTTTATACCTCAGATATCGATGTAAATTGATGACATTCCAGACACTCTATATATGTATACTAAGATATATATATATATATATATATATATATATATATATATATATATATATATATATATATATATATATATATATATATATATATATATATATATATATATATATATATATATATATATAGAATAAAAGCACTTCTATGTTAGTACATAATATGACTGAGTTATATTTCTTGCATAGTTTGTGTAAAAAATGCAAAGTCACTCATACCAGATAAAATCGACATCGATATTGAATTTGCAAATTATTTTTTTTATATTCTTTGAAAATGGTTTGTGTCTGGATTTCCTTTTAGAAAATTTGAAATCACAAAATTTTACCAAACTCAATAACATCAAAACATACGACTTTTCAACACTCTATATAGCTATTCCCAAGGATAAATTAAAGTCCAGGCTTTTGGACACCATGAACAATTGCTTTTTCAATAAAAATGGAACTCGTAAATTTACTTACCTTGTCATTGGTCATTTGCAAAATTATTTTGTAAAAAAAAAAAAAAAAAAAAAAGAAAAAACAATCTGATTGTACACACAAATAATCCAAATTTGATATTAAAAAGATGCTTGAGTTTTTTATTGACAATTTCTATGTAGTTTTTGGAGATCAAGTCTTCCAACAATATGTCAGAATTCCCATAGGTACCAAATGCGCCCCGATATTAGCAGACCTATTTTTGTATTCATATGGAGCAGAATTTATTCAAAAGCTTCTACCTGAAAAAAAGAAGACACTTGCTATGGCCTTCAATTCAAAATTTAGATATATCGACGACTTTTTATCAATTAACAATATTCATTTTCATTCCTACGTTGATTCGATAAATCCCTCTGAACTCGAAATAAAGATACCACAGAATCTGACAATTCTGTTTCATATATGAATATTTAACTAGAAAAAGATGTTAATGGTAACCTACCAACAAAACTTTATGATAAACGTGATGACTTCAACTTTTCTATCGTAAACTTTCCTTACTTATGTAGCAATATATCCTTATCAACATCATAAGGAGTTTATGTCTCCCAGTTCATTCGATACGCAAGAGCATGCTCTATGTACGAACAATTTCTAAAACGAGGCAAGCTATTGACAAACAAGTAGATGAAACAAAGATATCAACAGTCTCGTTTAAAGTCAACACTATGCAAATTCTATGGTCGATACAATTACCTAGTCAGCAAATACAAGCTACATCTACAATTAAGTCGAATGCTGACTGACGTTTTTCATACAAATTGTTAGGCCATTATTTACTCACTGAATTGTCTACGTATTTTCCCGTTTGCCTGATCATGACAATGAGCACACGGCTGGCGTGACCGGTCTACAGGGGATGCTTAATTCTCCATGGCACCTGATCCAACCTCTGATGATTTAGAGGTCAGTGTTTGCTCTGCTCAAAATTTGTATTGTTTCAATGGACTTTTGAGTTTGATTGCTGTTCCTTATTTTCATATTTCACTGAAAATTTAGGATGGATCCCAAACAGGAAAATACAGGAATATTTAAAGAGGCCCTTAATATGAGCAATATACAAAAATAAAGAAAAATTGTCAGAAAGCGTACGCTATATACTAATATTGAATTCGAAAGTGACATGGCCCTTTTGAAGAACTTTGCGTGTATAATATGGAGAAAACCATTCATTTTTTTCTCTTTCAGCCAAAGATAATATATTATAGGTTCTAAGCATTGTAAAATTTATGACATCAGATCTCGTGGGAAATCAAGATAAAATGCAGTTAGGTGACCCGTTAGCTGTGACGAAGAGGATAGTGTGCTAGCGTAACCCACGCAGCTCGTTAAATGCGTACAATAAGAATAATTTTTCTTGAGAAAATAGTTTTAACGAACCTTAACAATATATTTTACATACATCATGTCAATTAAAAAAAAAAATACTCTCAAATATGGACCATATCTCTTATAAACATCAAAGAAAATTTTAAAATTAAAACATACTTTTGTTGACAGGATCAGGCATCTAAAATTCCACAGTGTGCTTTATATACATCTGTTTAATTTCCCGAAATGAGTGTGGCATCCAGCAGTGTTATAATGTTTAGATGATCACATCTATAGTAAGGCATTGATTTAAGAAATTTGGGAACGTGCAATTTTTGCATCGAGTGAAAAATTTTCCCTTTATATCTTGATGTTCAGATAAAACTCTGTTGTTTTTATATTTCTATTTTTAATATTTACTGCTTTAATAATGAAACATTGCATCGTTTATGTTATTTAAAATAGGAACCCATTGGAAATAAGCTCTCTAGCTTTGATGAGTTATCCTAGTATCATCTAGTCACAGTAATTATATTTCTAAAATATGTTTACCGGAATATTTTATTTACAAATGTATGCAATTTTATGTTTTCCAAATATGTTTCACCACATAAACGATGGCGATAATTTATCTGAAAAATGCACATTGTTGCTAAAACACAAACCTACCTGCTTTGAAATAATTCCATGAATTATTTCAAAGCATTATTGATAGTTTGACGGGTGTAGATTTGTTTTCTTTACCAACTAGCCATATAGCTATAGGGTAAATGGGGTTAATGTCGATACGTCAAAGGTCGCCCCTCTAGTGAAACAATTAAGGTTTTGACTTTACATAATTGCTGCCGATTGTGTACCAAAAACCCAAAATCATAACTTATACTTTACTATTCTACACGATTTACAGCTGGTTATACACATGTGTGTGGTGCAAAAAAAATACTATACTGATAAATAAATAAGGAAGCTCGGTTCTTTTCATCTTTCATCATTGTAAAATTTAACATTATAAGATCACTCAGGTGTTAAAAGAAGGATGTATTTCACGACATTATCTATACTAGATCATTTCATTAGCAAGAAAAAAAAACATTTACATGTTTTTTATGCTTTGTATGTCCAGGAAGTATATTTGCAACTTTTTCAATCCATTGAAATAGAGTTCGTTCACTCTCATTTCTTCAAAACAAGCTTCAGATTAACCTTTACCCTTAACATATCATAAGGTCGAAAGTACTTAGTGACTAAACTTTCCGAATGACTTTCAAGTACATGTTGTACATGCGACAAGTTGTTCTTCTCATGTATATAGTTATCACAAGAAACATTATCCATAAGATCACGTGTATAAATCTGTACGAAATCTTCCTTAATAAACAAATACTGGAAAATAATGTGATATTTCCTCATTTACTGAGACAAATTTAAATTCCAATTGATTATTATGATTATCTTCTTCCTCTATACTAAGTACAAATATTGTCGCCTAAATCAAAACAGTCATTAGGGGGATGACAACACGGCAGACATGTTGATTTTATACGCTGTGCTCGTTTTATTCTGTGCCATCGAGGCTTCGCAAAATTACAGCATCGGTGACCCACGGGCCTGTTATGATGGAAAGGGGGAAAGGCCGTTCTTGTTTGAGGTAATGCCTGGACTTGGTTGGGATAATCTTGTGAATGAGAATCGAGGCGTTGTTGTGAATTTTAATTATTCAAAATGCAAAACTACAGAGGATAGAAGATATCTCATTCCAGATGGAGTCGTAACCATTCCTATTAAGACAAGTCACATGAACGTTTTCTCCAAGGTGTACGATCATTGGTCTCAGTATGAATCTGATACGGCGTTTTCTGTAAACAACGCAGCCTCGGCAACCATTAAAGGTGTAAAGATAGCAGCAAGTCTGTCTGCCGAGTATGAACACATTAAAAAACATCAACTGGAGGATAAATCAATCACCACTAAAGTCCAAGCACGATTCGTCCGGTATACGGCAAAGATTCTCCCCGACGTACAGTTAGATCAGTCGTTCCGAAATCGTCTTCTGAAGATTGCCAACCATATTCAACAAAATCGAAAATTGTCGACAAAATATGAAAGTGAACTACTGGTTCGAGATTTCGGAACTCACGTACTTACGAGTATCGATGCTGGAGCGTCTATCGTCAAAGTGGATCAGGTTGACTCTTCTCTTCTCCAAGATAGCAAAATCGACAAAGTTCAAATAGGGTATGCAGCAAGTGTCTCTCTTCCTGGGCTTGCAAGTGTCGATGTAAACGATAAATTCTCTTACTCAAAAACTGCACTTGAAAAATACATGCGGAATGTTAAAAACTCGGACATCAGAGCATACGGAGGTCCACCCATGAATCCTGAAAATTTCACACTTAGTAAATGGACAACTACTATTGGAAATGATTTGGTTGCAGTGGATAGAAATGGATTTCCTCTTGACTATGTAATCTCCACAACTGGGCTCCCTGAACTGTCTGAAAGTTTGGTTGAAGAAATTGTTCAGAACGTTCGAAGTGCAATCTCGTCCTACTTCCTTCATAACACATACCCAGGATGCACCGATCCAGATGCGCCGAACTTTAGCAAAATTTCAAATCTGGATGATGGTACCTGTCATGCACCTCTAACGAACCTTAGCTTTGGTGGGGTTTACCAAACATGTCAGTTCCAGGGAGGCTTAATGAACAACGAAAACTTGTGTGACAAACTTACTGTAAGAAATCCTCAAACACAGAACTTTAGATGTCCAGAAGGATTTGATATAGTTCTTCTTTATGAAGGAAAAGCACATAAAGCTCAACACGAGCATAAGTGCCATAGATGCTGGGCCTTTTTCAAGTGTTGTCACGACAAGTCTTATTATGGCTCAGCAACGTACACATCGTATTGGTGTCGTGCAAAACCAAACACACCTGTTCAAGAAAACAGTGGATTTCTCTTTGGAGGATTGTTCTCAGACAGAACCAGTAACTTTGTAACACAATCAAAATCATGCCCACAGTTTTATAATCCAATGAAGATTGCCTCTAATGTTTATGTGTGCATCAGTGATGACTATGAACTTGGCGCCAAATCTGCCGTGCCATTTGGTGGTTTCTACAGTTGTCAACATGGCAACCCTTTGGTTGATGGTAAATATGCAAAATCTTGTCCAAAGGGTTTCAGCAACCACTTAGCCACAATTGACAACAACTGTGAAATACAATACTGCGTAAGGACTGGTCAAATGTCCGAACTAAAATTCCCAACCGTTCAAATCCCGCCATTTTTTGATGTCCCTGCAGAGAGTTTAGAAGAACCTGCAAATTATATAATTTCTCATGATTCTGAATCGTGGATCCAACTCATTGATCCCGAAATGAAAGGAGATAAACCTGACGAGTCGAGCTGGACAACTTTGAGTTCAGCACCCAAAGAAATGGCTGCCCTGATGAAGAAATTCACAGGTAACCATGTAGTGCAGGTGAACAGCGATTCTGGGATGTCCAAAGGCGCCATTGCAGGATTGTCCGTTGGCTTGACAACTGCAGTTTGTGTAGTTGTAGGAATTGTAATAGCTGTTCGGCGCAATCGCAAGCAGAAGAAAATCTATGAAAGTTTTGAATAAACTATTTTTCGCCCACCGTGTTTTCCTGCATGATTACATGGTTACATAATGTTCTACGATGTGACGCATGATCATGTTTTATTTTTCTTCAAATATCGCACATAAGAGAAAAGGAATATAATCATCTCGTGTATACTTGATTCCGTATGTTGATGGATAAAATGATTCCCAGTGATAATATCCTAGATGAAGACATGATATCGGTCACTTTCTTATCTTCACAGACAAATATCAAAACAACGTGTTGTCTTTGTACTGGAGTACAATCCAAAGAAACTCTCCATGCCCGATGCTTCTGAGTACTCTTTATTTCACGACCGATGCTTTCATATACATGTATATTTTTTTTTTGAATATGCATGTTTCTATGTCTAAATTGTGGAATATGTAATCACACTGAGATAATACATGTAACTCAACAATCGGATACGTGTACAATCTGAATGATCGGATCGCATGTAACTGGATTTTGCATTTTCTAGATTGTACCGAAATTCCGTAGCCTGAACTCATTTCTTTTACAAAAATTAACGTATCTTTATAAAATTTTAGATTAAAGTGTGTTTTTGGTTCATAAATCTTGGGTTTTCTCGAAGCACAATGTTTGTACATAGATATTGTGTGGTTTAATCTACGACGAATCCAATTTGTCTACGGAATTTTGGCACAACCCTTGTGTATCATTCCAATGAGAGATCTTGTGAAGTGTTAGAAATAACCAAAAATTCGAGTTATCATGTTTCACAAAAAATAGTTCGGTAAAATCTATCCAAAAACATTGAACCATTCATTCACTAACTGTGTATATAAGAAAACCATCAGTGATTGTACTGCAATTTTCCCCTACATTCTTCTAGGGAATCAAATGACATTCCGAGTTTTGATCCTACACTGTGGGTAAAAGCTTCTATTCATCAGTAAAGGACATAGGCCAATATTTTGTCATACATGTATTTTGTCATATATATTCACTACAATCAATTTTCGTACCCCGTTCAGAATAGGGGATATTACATCTTTCTCTAATTTTGAGAATTGTTAAAAATTCTTTGCACTCTCAAATTACTTTCTGTATAGATTATATTCCAATTCACATTTTGTTGAAATTTTCACATATGTTCGCAAAATAGCTAGATCTACTTATATTAGAAGAATATTAGAGAGGTTAAGCATTTGACCGTGTGCGTCTACGTGTACGTGTAAACCCAAAAGTGATTTTACAAGTACACGTAACTAACATCGTGTTCTGTTTAACATTCTGTACGTGTAGCGGTACGTGTAAAACGTCATTTCAACAAGTCATTTTACAATCCATTTGTAACAAATAATTCTATGACTTTGATTAAAAAAGATACATAGATGTACGTAATAAACTCTCAATATCACAACAAACACCGCCTGAAAAATATACATTCTATAATTTGGGTTTAAGAAGCTACAAGTTCTTTCCTACGTGTACATATGAATGTACACGTTGTGTACAACTTGTAGAATTATGCGCTATGCAAAACTGATGACGTACATGTAAATCGCAGTAAATTAGGGGATATCCCTAGCTACACGTACACGTAGACGTACACGGTCATCTGCTTAACCTCCTTATTAACTATAATCATAATTAATATCAATCATCAAATGCTTGAAATTAATTGGTCAAATGGAAATATCTCAAGTTCACATGGATAATATACATGTACATCTATCACTTTAAGATTCATATCACACCACTGAAACTCATAAAATTTGGATGTTAATAATGTGTAGTCATTTCACAATGTTATAAATAAGGAAATGGTAGTACCAAAAAATATGGTTACAGCATATAAATTCAGATCTGAAGTAATTTTCATTCCCAGGAGTTTTTAAATGTAAGGGTGTTATGAAATTATCTGATATGAATTAGATGTTTACTTTAAAAATAAAAAAAAATTCTTCCCTGGCAATTTGCTTTTAGTTTATTTTATCTGAGTGATCATACATGTACATAAGGTATGTCGATGCTTGCATACCTGTCGACTGTTTGTGTCTGAATTATACTATAAAACTGGAACATAAATATATCATAATATTTTCTGTGTAGATTTTCCATCAATCCCTGGGATAATAAGAGCATGTTACTATTACACACAATAAGAGGCAGTGAATTACTTTACAGCTTTTATTTGTGTAAAGCACATTTCTATTTAGTCCTTCTTCGTGTTCTTGTTGTGTTTTTTACTAAACTTCAGGTTCTTCAGAAACTTTGGGTCTACCTGTAAAATAATACATGTTAATGTACATAAGGAAAGGGTTCATCAATCATTTACCAGATCAACTTCAACATCTTTTACTTTTAGTGAAAAATTTTCCATCTTTTCAAATAAATCAAAATGTGTTTTTCTTTTTTTTTTTATGTTTTATTCATTTCTTTCTTTTTTTATTCCTTGTTTTTGTTTGTTGTTGTTGCTGTTGTTGATTTTTTTGTTTATTAACATTGGAAAATGTTTCATTGAAGAAGGGAAGAAGAAAATAATAGAGTGAACTTACCCCCTTCATTGAGGGATATCTGTAGGACTTAGGCCTGTGGATACCATTTCTGTGGTGTTTGCGATCTGAAAGATAAACACAAGGTCACTTAATTTTAGCATGTTTAGGGGTGGAATTATGTTTGTATCTTTCTGTATAGAAATATATTCCAAATAAACTTCTTTACAGTAAATAGTGAGTTATGATCCTATCATCAAGCAAACACACTACGAATGTTTTTGCAGATTTTGAAGTAAAATTGTCCAGAAAATTTGGTGATATCACATTCAAATGGTTAATGTTTTTCAGTTTCAGCTGTAGGAGCAATAGTTCCTGGATGACATATGCACCTATTCCACACTAATCTGAGCAATCTTTATACTAAGTCTACTCTAAAACACATATACATGTACCAAGTACCCTCAGAAGATAGCATGATTGTCTAATCCTCACAGAATAAGAGTGGTGTAGGACAATACCCTCATCACTGGGTACTATATATGCATGCATTACAAATCAGGTTAAAAGGGAAGGAAGGTATTTTAAAACTTTTAGGCTTATAACTAGCAGTGTGAACAGCTAACCATACTAAAAATAGATTTTGCAGATCTATGTATACAGCAGCTGTAAACAGTGAATAAAATTAAAAACAAAAAATAGATTTTGGAAGATTTATCTAACAGCTGTGTACAGCTGTCAATTTTTTTTCTTCTTTTTTTTATTTTAATTATTTTTGAAGCACCTGCCACTGGTAGATTAAATCATCCCGATCCCAGATTTCTCCTCCTTAGCATTAAAATTTAATTAAAATACAAAAAGATTTTGAAACTTTATTAGTGGTCCACCAAGAGTTGTGTTTTCATTATTGTTGCATTTTTTAAAGAAACCAAAGGACTCCCCTGTTTATTGGTAAAAAAAAATATATATACAGTCAAACTTCGTTATCTCGAACTCAATGGGACTGAGAAAAAACTTCGAGATATCCAAGAATTCGAGATATCCTGGATAAAATACTTAAAGAATAAGGGGTTGGGACTCCAAATCACTTCGACATATCCATGGTATTAGAGATATAAGTGTTCGAGATACCGAATTTCAACTGTATATACATGTCTACATGCATGAAATATCGAGATAACAAACAGTATTCAAGTTCGAAGTCCATTTTGACAATACAAATTGGGAGCAGAGCAAACATCGACCTCCAGAAACATCAGAGGTGGGATCAGGTGCCATGGAGGAGTGAGCATCTCCTGCTGACCAGTCAGACCTGCTGAGTGTTCCTTGTCAAGATCGGGAACAAGAGGCCCAAGGGCCTTGAATCGCTCTTCTGATAAACTGTACAACCTATCACTTCTATTTGAAGCCTCTAAGTATCCTGTATATTTAGATCAACCCTTGAAATTCCAATTCACATTCTGAGAACCCAAGATGATTCTAAGCCAACTAGTACCTGAGAGTTGGTCAAGTGACCTACTTATCACTTGTCATTCTCTGAGGACCCATCAACTAAGTTTGATGATTCTAAGCCAATTAATACCTAAAATATTTTTTTAAAATTATAACTGTAAAATTTTATAAGTAGGTCAACGTGACCTACTTTTTAGTTGTTGTACTCCAAGGACCCAAGAAGCATCAACTGACAAAGTTTGATGATTCTAAGCCAATTAGTACCCAAAATATTTAATTAAAGCCATAAATTTTCAAAAGTAGGTCACGGTGACCTACTTTTCAGTTGTCGTACTCCAAGGACCCAAGATGCATCAACTGACAAAGTTTGACGATGCTAAGCCAAATAGTACCCAAAAATATTAAATACAGCCATAAAATGTCAAAAGTAGGTCACCGTGACCTACTTTTCAGTTGTCGTACTCCAAGGACCCAAGATCCATCAACTGACAAAGTTTGATGATTCTATGCCAATAAAGTACTTGAAATATTTTATTAAAGCCATAAATTTTCAAAAGTAGGTCACAGTGACCTACTTTTCAGTTGTTGTAATCCAAGGACCCAAGATGCATCAACTGACAAAGTTTGATGATTCTAAGCCAATTAGTACCCAAATTTTTAATTAAAGCCATAAATTTTCAAAAGTAGGTCACAGTGACCAACTTTTCAGTCGACCTACTCCGAAGACCCAAGATGCATCAACTGACAAAGTTTCATGATTCTAAGCCAATTAGTACCTGAAATATTTAATTAAAGCTATAAATTTTCAAAAGTAGGTCATGGTGACCTACTTTTCAGTTGACATTTTTTAAAGACCCAAGATGCATCAACTTACAAAGTTTTATGATCATAGGCTTTAAAATGTCCAAATTATGCCTCTAAAACGCTTTGAAATCTAATGCCTGCAAAGTTCAAAAAGTAGGTCACTGTGACCTACTTTTTAATAAATATGTTTTATGGCCCCAAGATGCACCATCTTAAAAGATTTAATGATTCTAAACCTCTTGGTATTCCAATTAATGACCTTAATTGTTTTGAAAAAAATTAGCCATAAAATTCAAAAAGTAGGTCAAGGTGACCTACTTTTCAGTTGACATACTTCGACTACCCAAGATGCATCAACTGACAAAGTTTGATGATCATAGGCCTTAAATTGTTCAAAATATGCCTCTAAATCATTTTGAAAAAGAATGGCCCCAAAATTTAAAAAGTAGGTCACGTGACCTACTTTTGAATCAAAATGATATAAGGTCCTTAGATGCATCAACTGACAAGATTTGATGATCCTAGTCCTTATAGTAAGCAAAATATCAGCATTTTAATAAAATGTAATTTTTGGTCAACTTTGAAGTGACCTTGAGACCACGCCCTTTGCCCCAGGGTAAATCCCAGTGCAAATTTTAATCTACAACATATCCTCATCCTTTTGTGTAAGTTTGGTGATAATCTGCCCAGTGGTTCTTGAGAAGATTTTTTAGCAACCAGTACTTTTGTTTCTATTTTCCTAATTATCTCCCCTTGTTAAAGGGTCACAACCCTAGTTTTAGTATAAAAGGGAGCCCTTGGGCCGAGGATACCCTGTGACAAATTTGACAATAATTGGCCAAGGGGTTCTTGAGTTATGGCCCATATTCTAAAAAGTTTATGCACACCGCACAAATGGCCATAGCATTAGCTCTTTGAGCCTTTGGCTCTGAAGAGCTAAAAATGGAAAAAATCCATAGACAATTCAGTGTGTAAATAATGGCCTAACAATTAGTATGAAAAACGTCAGTCAGCATTTGACTAATGGTAGGTTGTATTTGCTGACAAGGTCATTGTATCAACCATGAAACTTCCAAAATGATGGGATTTGGGATTTCTTGCATGACATAAGCCTTTTTCTTTTCTCTCTCTCTCTCTCTTTAAAATGAGCAAAGAGAAACAATTTAGCTGACTGAAGATTACAAAAGATCATTTGAATTGTAATGATTCTTTGTCCCTTTTCTTTGTGTTGTGTATGTGTGTGTTTTGGTGGTGTTGGGAGGGGGGTTACCTGGGCCAAACATGTACACTAAGGCCATAATAACTAGGGGTTGATATCGCCTGAAAAATTATATTGCGATATATTGCAATATTTGATGGCATATTGCAATAAATACTGCGACATATTGTATGTTGGTGGTGTTGGGGGTGGGGGTGGGAGGTTATCTTCTCCTAGGTTAAATATGTACATGCTAAGGCCATTACAACAAGGGGTGGTGAAAAATTATATTATGATACATTGCAATATTTGATGGCATATTGCAATAAATGTTGCGATATATTGTATTGCTGTCCATTTCTCTAAAAGTTTGAAGTAAACTGGATAGACATGTATTTCATTCATTCCAATTAAACCAAAATACCCTATCATGGCAGTTATCATTTAACACTGTAGAATGTTTGCGGTCAACTGGTTACATACGGTAGTTCCCTGCTGAATTAGTAGTCATTGTCATAGATCGTGTTTACATGTAATTTTTGCAAAGACAGTCGACAGGTTTTTACTTTCTTTATAATATCTGCATAAAAATTTGAGATATGGCCAGATTATTTCACTTGCATTATCTCAGCTTTTCTTTTATTTTTTAGTGTATGTGTACTCTAGCTGACATAACACTCAGAATTAATGCATCACAATCCAAAAGATCATTCCACCATATTGATAAACAAAAACATGAAATTGTAAATTGTTTAAAGTCAGTATTTTGGAAAAAATATAATAATATTGTTGTTGAATTAAACTGACAATGTTATCCTCGTAATATATATTAATCCTTCTTATTTCATTCTTACTTTTTAAACACTGTAGCAATGTCTATAACAAGAAAACTTTAAAGCAGCCAAGTAACTGAGTTTTGATTTCAGATACACCATATTTAACGTTTATGTAATACTTCCAGTTAGCATATTGTCCATCCCAGTATTGAAAAAAATATTGCGATACATTATATTTGGGTTTAATATT